CCAAACACATACTCTGAGTGCTGACAGATTGCATGAGGTCTTGTAAAATTGTACCCAACGTTATAATTCAAGATTTGACCAAAACGAGTTCTCAGCATAAAATAATCCTTGACTCTGGCATGAAAGGTGGCGGGTGATATGCATTCCTTCATAGAATACAGCAGAATGGACCGGTGTTTTTCCAAGCATTCAGATGAAATTGTCTTAATTTGAGAGTCTTTCCTCTGTCTGTTTCATTCCTCTTGTAGCATCAAGAACGTGACGCCCAAAGTGGGCGCCGATGAGACCCACGATGCCATCCGGCGAGCCTTCGATGTGTGGCAAAGCGTGACGCCATTGCGCTTCGAGGCCGTGCCCTACAGCGAGTTGGAGCGGACCAAAAAAGACGTGGACATCACTATCATCTTTGCTTCGGGTTTCCATGGTGACAGCTCGCCCTTTGATGGCGAGGGGGGTTTCCTGGCCCATGCCTACTTTCCGGGACCGGGAATAGGAGGCGACACACACTTTGATTCGGACGAGCCGTGGACGCTGGGCAATCCACACCATGACGGTAGGCGCTGGACACACTGAGGTTCAGAAGGTTGTTCGTGAATGTAACAATTATACGCAGAAAAATATAAATTCATTGGTTTTTATTTGTCTTGCTGTGGTAAATTTCATCCTGGATGTTGGTCCTGCTGGTCCGTTTATGACAGCACAGCTTTGCTCCGATGGACTGAGGTTTGCTCAACTATCTGTCTGTAAAAGCAGATAATTTATTTGATGAACAAAATGTGTTACAAGCCTGTACTCATCCTGCAAGCCTTGCAGATTGCGAGGGTGATTTAAGAGAAGTCTAAGCGTCTTTCTGTAGTTGGAGAGTGAGTCAAGCAGCTGGGTTCTAGTTTTGTTGGAGATTTCTGCCTTTTTTGGTGTCAACCTCTGGTAACCACTGTATTCTTCATTGTCAAGACTGTAGAAGGACCTGAAGCAAAGAATAGATCTCCTCATACAATACCACACCTCCTCCCTCGGCACTCTGTCATATGCTTTTTCTAAATCCACAAAGACACAATGGAGTTCTTTCTGACCCTCTCTGCGCTTCTCCATCAGCATCCTCAAAGCAAAGATGGCGTCTGTGTTGCTCTGTCTTGGCATGAAACCAAACTGCTGCTCACAGATATTCACCTCTCGTCTAAGTCTTGCTTCCACAATTCTCTCCCAGATCTTAACTCAACTTAATTCCCCTGCAGTTGCTACAACTCTGTACATCACCCTTGCTCTTAAAAATGGGCACCAGCACACTTCTTCTCCATTTCTCAGACATTTCTTCACCCTCCAATATGCCATTTGAATCAAAAACCTCACTGCCATCTCTCCAAGACATTTCCAAACCTCCACTGGAATGCCATCAGATCCTACTGCCTCCCCTTCTTCATTCGTTTCAGAGCTTCTGAACTTCACCCTCAGTAATCTTTCCCACTTCCTGGTCCACAGTTTCTATGACCTCTACTCTTCTTTCTCTTTCATTCTCTTCATTCATTACTCCTCAAAGTACTCCTTCCATCTTTCCATCATGCTCTCCTCATCTCCTAGAACATTATTATTCCTATCTTTAACAAGCTTAACTTGCTGCACATCCTTTCTAGCCTGATCCCTCTCTCTTGCCAGTCAATGCAAGTCTTTCTCTCCCTCCTTAGTGTCCAGCCTCTTGCACAACTCATTCACCTTCTGTTGCTAACCAGTATTACATCTGTACTGTAATACTAGTTATTGTACATAAAAAGAATAACATGGCATGGCGAGCAGGCAGGATTCAGGAAGTTCTTCACTGAAGGCTTGTCTTAATAGAGCTGCATGCATCATGAGCTGTTTTCACAGGAGTGTGAGCTGGGCTGGATGAATATTACATGAAGACCTAATGAAAAATTATATTTTCAAGGTTTGACCAAGAATGGCGGACTAGCAGTTTTAGTGGTTCTTTTTTCTTCCTTAAAACTCTGTTTCCAAACCAGTTTACACATTTCTTCTAGTCTCATCTCCTTTGAGCTCTTGAGCCTCGAATATTTATCTAAATATCCCCCGTCTTTTTCCTCTCGTACGTTCCTGCTACTCAGTTTGTTTTTCTTTCGTTCATCCTCATTTTTCTCATAAATATCACCTCGGTCATGACGTTGACTCATGACTCTGTAACGGCCGTGTCTCCGGACCGTGGGGACAAACGACAAAAAGACACAAATGGACAACAGCCACGGTTTGAAATTCTCAGGGAAGCATTTGAAACAAACCTAAATTCATGGTTTTTTGCTTTTTATTGAATTACAATTGGTGTTCACTCATTTCACAATATTTCCTTATTTGTATCTTTTCCTGCAGTTCTTAAAAAACAAATATATTCGCATAAAACACGCGGCTCGATTGAGAACAGTGTTTATGATTTTATAAATAAATAAAAAAATCCCATAGAAACTGAACTTTGTTCTCTTAGAAATCTGTCTTTAAACTACCATTCTGCTACTTTTAGCTTTTTTCCACTTTTCTGCACCCATTAGCCTTCAGCTACCATGTCGCAGATTTTGGCAATAATTATATTGCTAATTTTTACCTTGATCAACTGTTTGGCCAATTGTAAACTTTTTTTTTTGTTGCTAATTTTATCATTTTGTTATGCTCTTTTACTGCTTTTAGCTTCTAGCTATTGTTCTGCTACTTTAAGCTTTAAGCTGCTAATAATTTGCAGTTATTTTATTTTTTGCTTGTTTTACTTCTTACTTCTAACAATTTTGCTGCTTTTAGTTTTTTGGCTACCTTTCTGTTCATTTTAGCTCAAATCAACTGTCTTGCTCATTGCAGCAACTTTTTAGCTGATTTTGCTTTTGTTTTATGCTTTGTGCGCTGCTGCTTTTTGCTTTTAGCTTGACTCATTTTAGCCTCCGTTTCGCTTCTTATAGCCTCATATTTGCTCATTTTAGCTTCTGTTTTTGCTCATTTTAGCCTCATATTTGCTCATTTTAGCCTCCATTCTGCTCGTTTAAGATCCCGTTCTGCTAATTTTATCCTTCATTTTGCTAAATTTTAGCAAATAGTCTGATTCAGCACTCAGCAGTTATTTCTATAGTTTTAAATATGTTTTTTTTAAGCATCAAAACAGATACAAACAAGCCTTTATACATAACGTATGTCAAATTACCATCTAAAACCATCTATCTGTTGTTCTGTATATTTCCAGTACTTCAGGGATGTGTAATCCCTCTGTCGTCCCTCTGGATGTGATGTAACTTCATCTCAGAACAAGCTTTGATGTCTGCGTTTCCATCCTCATTTCTCTCGTTTTGTATTTCTTTAAGTCAGACATAAACGCGCTCCACCGTCCGCCAAACCTCTTCCTCCTAATCCCACGTCTGCTGTTGTGGGGAAGGATCAGTCGTCACGGTAACCGCTGCCAGCTGTAGATGATGATGACGGCGCTGACATCACCGCTGCTCACTGGAGGAATATGTCCTGTCTGCATGGAGATAAACAAACGTGTGCACGTGTTAAAGAGAACACGCATCCGGACAGTGCGTGTGTTTATAAGGATTCATTCTTGATCTCAGGGACTTGGATGTGATTTAGACGCAAACTTCCGGTTGGACTCGACGCAGAATCACTCAAATCAAGAAAAACGGCATCATTCTGCGTTTTGTTTGAGCTTTATGTAATTGCAGATTAAATATTTTACTTTATTTGATTTGTAAATTAATAAATCGGGGCGTATTTGTCAGCATAATTGATGAGTGATCCCAGCTGCAGCTTTGATGCACGTAAACAAACTCCGGCTGCTGTGGAGCATCTGTCGAGACTCTGCCTTCACTCGTATATCAGCTGGGAACCGGCTAAAGAAAACACCTGTAGACTGTAATGAGAAATAAAGTGTTTTTAATCATCTGTTAGCAAAATATCCCATGAACCAGTGGACACATAATGTGATACCTGGATGTGCATCCACAACTGAAACTGTTCAAGATAGCTGCTACAGCTAATTATCTTAGCCAACACATAAATAAGAATAACACATTTAATTTTAGAGATATTAATCTAAATGTTGCTGTGGGAGTAGCTGAGAGTAGTCCTGTCACGATAAACAATAAATCAATTAATCGCATGATGAATTAAAATGAGGTCAATAATTTTCATTTATTGGTTTTATCGTTTCTTTGTGTCTGACACTGGACGACAAAAGGCTCAACTCCGGTGCTCTTCACTGACTCTTCCCTTTCTCTTTAAAATCTGTTTAAACCGTCCAAAATCGTGTTTTTGGATTGTTAAAAGCAGCTAAGCTGAGAAGCTAAGCTACGAGCTAAGCTAACAGGCCGACCTCGGGGGGGAAAAAACCTCCGTCTTGTCAATGCTTCAGAATTCACGGTTAAAACTCGTGCCTTCGTGTAAAAAGTTGTTTTTCTCTGAAAAAAGAAGCTGAGAACTTGTTTACTGATTTTTTTAATTAAAAGCTTTGTGTGACAAATGCTATGCTAAAGAGCTCAAACCACAGAGCGTCCGCCATTTTGAGAACCATATAAAAGGAAGGAGAGACAGCCCATGTCACGTCAAGGAGCTTCCCTCCCATTTTCTTAAAGAGACACGCTGCTCGCTCCCTCACTATCCATCCTTCAGTTCAAACAGTCAAGTACTGCCATCTGGTGGTCAAACAAAGGTACTACACTCAAAACAAATTAACCAACACTTCTTCTTAAATTTGACAATTATTACTAATTATTGTCAAATTTCAAACAATATTATCGTTTATCGCAATAATTTCTGAGACAGTCGACCAGTAAAATTTGTTATCGAGACAGGCCTAGCTGAGAGTCATCTGCACAACAGATTTCAAGCACAAACCGATCACTTAAACTCCGAAACATTGACATGAAAGTTGGTAGAGGTGCATTCCTTCGAGGAATTGTTCCTCGTCACTAAGCAAAAGTGGGAACTGGAAATATCCTTTGTCCATCCATCCGTCCATGCATGTTGTGAGCATGATCACTTGAAAAATAAGTGAGGTACTGACTGCCATGCTGGTGTGTGGCTACATCTATGTGTTTAGAAAGGTTCAGTTCGACAATCGGGTTTCCTCGTCAAAGTCCAAGATGGCCACCATCATGTATATGTTTTCAAATCAGCCATCCCAATCATTTGAGGAAACTATGCTTTCTAATTATATTACTTAAAAGTACCTTTTCTTTAAAAGGTGAGGGTGGCCCTTGGAGTGGCCAAAGTTTAATCTCTAGTGGCCAAGGCCACCATTGGCCACCCCCTGGCTCCACCGTTGCACCTGGTCATTGATAAAATTGCTCCCTCCACTCAACAGGATCAGTCACTTTGCGCTGCCTCGGACAAACAAAAAAATAAAGCTACTTGTATTCTTCTCCACAGTGTAACTCATACCCACTTGGGTATCTTGCACCAAACACATTAGTTTCTTCGCATTCTCTGTTTAATTCCAGTACAAAACAATGCTCATCTCAAAAACTACATTCACAATTAAATATCCTCAGCAACGGGGGACATCGGTGTACCACTTGATTTAGTAAA